CGCATTTCTCCAAGACGGAAATGTTCTCAACATATCTCTTAGAAACTCTTAAACAACGAATTGAAAACTCCTTCTGCGCCCAGGACTGTCTAAATTCATTCAATGATGCACGCTCAAAAAGTAACTCCCCAATTCGTTGTCAGTTCTGATTATACACATATGTCTTATTGTTTTCATTGACGACATCGGTCAAATAGAGAAAATGAGCATATATATATTTCATATTTATAAACGAAAAGAATAGATCAGTGAAAATAAACATGAAACATTCATCGGTTGAATTAAACGATTTACCTGATGAGATTCTTATGCTTATTTTGAAAAAATTGTACAATGTTCAAGTACTTTATTCTTTAATAGGTGTTAATAAACGACTCAATAAATTTGTACATGATTCAATTTTTACAAGTCACTTAACATTGATGAGATGTTTCTTAGATGATACCATCGATCCATTACCTGATCCAATCCTTGATCGATTTTGTTTACAAATCTTACATGAAATTCATCATAAAATTCAATGGCTTAATCTTGAATCATCATCTATGAAACGTATTCTTCTTGCTACAAATTATCCGAATTTATTTGGACTTGGTTTATTTGATATTGAGATAGAAACAGCTCTGTCTCTCTTTATTGGTAAGATATTTTCTTCAATTATTTCGATAATTAATTAATAAAAAATACATACAAAAATCAAAATGATGTCGAATATCTAATTTATACAAATAGATTTAGATCATTACGCATTTTTTTCTTATAAAATATTTCTGTACTGTACTGATACAAACTTACAAACATAAATTCGAGGAAAAGTAGTCGTAGAGAAACGATACACGGAATTATTTATAATTAAAGCAATATTTGAAATCTTAAACGTTGATTCTGTAAGAAAAGTAGAGAATAAAATAAATGACTGAAATAAAACACAATATCGATGATACAATATCATTTCTAAAAAATTTCAAAGAAAACGATCACACATACATTACAGAATTGTTAAAAAGAAAAAAAGAATGAATACATCGATTTAATGATAAAGATAAAATCTAATATGTTTTTTTGTTGACTTAATACTTTTTTTTATTTAGACAAATCTTGTTTAACTTCTTTAAATAAAAATCAAATCTCGTCGCTTGTGGTCGATATTACTAAATATGAAAAAATAATTTCAAATAACGATGCCAATATACGTATATTTACATATATTTTTACTATGTTCTCTAATTTACAATATTTTAATTTTTGTCCATCTTCAATTTGGCATCATCGATTATCCTATTACAATCTATATCCAGGTATTAATTCTTCAACTCTCTTAGAATTGCATATCTGTTTGGTACGGTTCTCTGACTGTCTTTATATACTTGATGGACGTTTCAATAAACATTGATTATAAACAACTAAACAGAGTGACACACAATTTTACAAGAGATATAACACGAATCAATTGTACAAAACTGGGTTCCTTATGTCTGAATGATCGTCGACTTCCTAACTATGCAAAAGACTATTTTCCACATGTATAAATATCGATTATTATCAATGCTTATGTAAAATAAATTCATTTGTGTAGAATAAAAGTATTAAAATAGAGACAGGATTTGTTTCATATTTGATTGAAAAGACTCGCAACTATGTATGTATAAGAAGAATCACACATGATAACACAGGACTGATAAAAAAAAAATGTTATTTTATAGAAAAAAAAATTCGGAATAATAGCTCAAAGTCGAGTTATTTGATACCATATAACATGAAATATGTGTTTTAGAATTGAAAATAAATAGAGAGCTGAAAACTCTAACACAAAAATTGACAATTAGCTAATACACCTACGTATGATAAAAATACCAGCTTATCTATATGTTCTCACCAATCTTTTTAGCTCGTTGAATTTGATAATCACTAATGGTTATATCAGTAACGTATGCTCCAGTTAAATAAGCGATACGTCTCAATGATCCACCAACACCACAACCAAGATTAGGTACTTTATCGCCTGATTTTAAATTCATTTTCAATGCTAAATAAGGTTCATGTCGTTAAATTGATTCAGCTAATGTTTCACGACAAAATCGATTTGCAAAATGAAAACTTTATTCCCAACCATATTCATAAAAATCTGTTACTAAACTATAATAACTTATAACTAAATTTTCGTATGAATTTTTTCGTTTATTAGCTGCTGTTGAATCTTCGAATAACCAATTGTAAAATAAAACTTCTTGTTTCACATTATCGTTTGTACGTCGTATTTAGTCTTGGAATGAAGTGTATATATATGAGCTTCTTATTTAAAAAAAACTTAGATTATCGTACGATCTTTGTCTGAGATAGATGAATGACGAGGTCGTCTTAACGGAGCCTTCTCCCTCATAATAGATTTACCACTTACGTTAGAAAGATTCATTTGAGCTGAAATTTCCAGAAACAAGTTTCTCTACTGAAAAATATTTCTAGTAAAAAGTTCAACCCGATACGTCAAACTAAAGCGAACTTCCGACTTATTTATAATACATTATTGGCTTTCAGAAGAATCCCTATGACTTCGTCACTACGGGACGTATAGATCGTGGAGCAGTTTCAAACAAAAGCCAATACCTATGTGCAGCTTTTCTCCATACACAGTTTTGAAATTCGCTTTCGTTCAGTTTTTAATTACCATTGCAGTACATATAGGGTTAAAATAAGCAACAAAATATCACTGCACGACACTGAATCTCGCTTTTCTCAGCACAGTCATCAATTATAAAAGGTCTACTCGAACAAAAATTTACTCTCATTCAAAACTTTCAAACAAAATAATATTGCTTATACCTTGAACCAGATGGCAGGAGTTTCAACTTTTCTGATTGAAAATCATATTGTTAGAAAAACGATAAATAAGTTTACACATGGATTTTGTCATTCAAATCAAGGAAAAAACATATTAAAATGGAATTTTTAAAAGCACCTGACAGATAACGCAAGCTAGTATCATCTACGGTAGTTGAATTATACCAGAATGTTTATTCAATGCTGATGCAGACAGAAAAGGAAGTCTTTTCAAAACTTAAAAAGCCACGGAGACTTCTCCGAAAATCGGGTAGTAGAATCAAAATTTCATCCTACGGCATGTTAAAATTGGGCTTTTTTCCAAAAAATCATTTATATTCTGAGATAAAAAGTTTCGTGCCATCTTCTTATGATTAAAACTCAACTCCGACCTTTTTTTTGAAAAAAAAAGGATTTTCTAAGGAAGTAGGCCCCATAAAGTTTCATGTTTAATTTAAATCACATCAATGGATAAACTATTGTGTTATTGCTGATGACAGGACAAATATCTTTATTAAAATCAATAGTGATATTCACATTTTTTGTTGTTACATATTGTCCCGACACTATATATTCAACACAACATGATATTGAAAAAGAAAATACAAAAAAACGACCTATTGTAAAGAAAATGTAATATTGAAATAGTTGACCTCTGTTTAAGATAGAAATTATTTAGAAGTCAATTAATATGTTCTTTCAGTTACAAAAAGAAAACAGAAACATCGCAATACTAACTCACCTTATTAGAATGCCATATCAATGGTTGCTGCTTCGACAAAAGTTTTAGGAGATTAACTATAAAACGATTGGCAACTCCCAATGAACAAAAGCTGTTTGATGAATATATCATACATGATGTACCAGCAATGGTACCTGGATTTCTTGATACGCTTGGACATAATATGCAAGGGTTAATAAGTACCTCCAATGCATTTGGTTGAATGACTAACAACAGGCAAAGCAGCAGCTACTGGTGAATTGCTTGTATCTGTTGATGCATAATAACCTAGCGATTTAGCTAATATGAGAATAACATCACCGCTTGTTTCTAGTACGGCAAGAGATTCTGGTGTTGATACAATTCGAATTAGTTTTGAGTTGATTGTTGATTATATTGGTTGCTGAGCATTTGGAATAACAGCAGATAGTGATGAAGGTACAATTGTATCGTTTAAGGCTGTATATAAATAAACTTGATAAATACTATGTTATATAATTAAATGAATATGTATGTTGTAACAAGAATAGCTGCTTGTGAACTTGTTAACCAAGTGATACTTTTACCATAACCAACTGATTGACCGTTTTCGAAAGAACTAGCTAAGGTCAGACTTGCATCATTATTACCAACAATAAATAGAAAAACTGTATTTAAGAAAGGTATGCCAATAAATACTTAAGCTGAATCATTAGAATTAATTTTGACTGACATGGTATATTGACTACTTCACATATTAACACTTGGATAAGTCAAACGTAATTGCCAAGAATAATTAGTAGCACTATAGGACCATGTTGATAAGAGAGTAAGATTAGTATTCCCTAATTATTTCCTGACGTATCCGTACCTGACGAAACACTAGATACAACTTCACCAGCAAAATAAAAGTAAGGATTGAGAGTTGTAGTTTGTTGTTGTCCTACACCTACTGAATAAACATAATGCGCTGAGTCATCATAATCCATGGAACATGACGGTGAATCAAATGTATAATTATATGGAGCAAATTGAACATGAAATGTTTTTCCATCACCATATGCTTGAACAAAAAGAACATCGTTAGCAGCTATTTTAAGATCATAAGCATCAAAATCACTTGTATCAGGAGAAAAACCAATGATGACCAAGTCATTACACAGTAGAATTATAAGTAGGAGAAGCCACATTATTTTAATCGTAAACAAGAAGCGAACAGAAATCGATCTGAATTTTTCTTTGAAGAAAATAGAATAACATTGCTAAAACTATTACTAATGCATGTATACAGCCAAAGCGCAGGTAACGCACAGACGTTTTTAAAACTTCGAACGAATTTATCTAGAGAATGGTAAGTGGGAAAAACTTGTGATTGGTAACAAATATGTAAGTAAATAAATTCTATAATACTTAAAAGTTTGAGCCTCAACCGTGTAGCCGTTTAGATTTTATGAGTGAAATACTAGTCGGTAACACACAGACAAAAAAGGCCCTCCGTTTTCGGTAGATGTGAGAGAACTGATAAGTTCTGTGTACTACTCCATATTAATGNTCCTGTATCTCGTATCTGTCTTTGCTTCTCCTACATCCTCGATTTCTGAAGTATGTGACGCCTCTCAAATAGTATGTATGACTAGCAGATGGAAGATTTTCCATATTGTTTAGTCTTCATAATGAAAAACAATGGTAATTGCATTAACGTTTAATTGACATACTTCAAAGATAACAGAAAATTGTTATGGAAACATTGTCAACTACCTTATCTTTTTATTAACTCAATGATTGGTTTATTTCTTCAAGAATTTTCTCAATTTATTTGTCATCATATAATTGAAAATAAAAATGAAACTGTTCTTATTGCTGATCCACCATAATGTGATAAAACAAAATTACTCGTACAAATATTTTAATAAACTTCATACTGACAATTCTTCTCCAAACAAAAGCTATAAACGATTATCAATGTGATAGTCTTTGAATTTTACTCAAGACAATTGCAAATAAAAACAAATTTTATTTGATTTTTCTACTTGATCATTTTGAACAATTTACGTCTGAAAAATTAAATTCTATTCTTCATATATTATTTCATGTTGTTTATTCAGATAAAAACAAAATTAATCAATATTAACAATAGCTGTATAAAATTGTTTTGAAAGATATTCAAATTTTTAAGAGATGGTGCACGAATCACTAGGGAAATACTGTTATACAAAAACTTTTGTCCTCTCTTTTTTTTTGTGATCGCAAATGAAAGAACATGCGAAGAAACCTCTAGACCTTAATTTCAGTCCTATCGGATTGACCTTTGAATAGATATGAGAGGAATATCGGAAGAGTCTCGATGATACTCTAACCATAATTATCATGATTTTCACGTGTTTTTCGTGTTTTTTTACGAAAAATATTTGTAAAGCGTATCGGTCGACAAAAATTCCTTATGGATTCGATAGAGCAAAAAAAGAGATGCACAAGATGCATCTGAAAAAGCAGTGTAAAAGATAGTACATAGTGCTCTAATTTAGCTCGGAAGATTAAAAATACACAATGTTTCCATAACAATTTTCTGTTATCTTTGAAGTATGTCAATTAAACGTTAATGCAATTACCATTGTTTTTCATTATGAAGACTAAACAATATGGAAAATCTTCCATCTGCTAGTCATACATACTATTTGAGAGGCGTCACATACTTCAGAAATCGAGGATGTAGGAGAAGCAAAGACAGATACGAGATACAGGAGGTCCCAAAAGTAAGGGAACAGATAAAAAATTGAATATCTCCGTTACGAGTTGAGTAAATGAGCTGATTTTTTTTATCAATGATAGACGTATGTTCAAGCTTTGTGTCCATAAAGACATGCCTAGAGAGACCCTTTGTTAAGTATCACCTAGTGATCTCAATAAAAAAAAATATACTTTTTCACAGATAGAAAAAAACAATATGCTTAACGCAGGGTCTCCCCAGGCATGTCTTGATGAATATAAAGCTTGAACATCCCTCTATCAGAGGGCGTGGGAGTGGGGTGGGTGTGAGTGTGTGGATGTGAGTTTAAAGATGAGACCGACACTAACATACGCACCCAGCCACACCCACACCCACTCTCCACACCCTATTACGAGGACAGCTGTAATAAGCACAATCAATAAAACTACGCACCTTGATACCACTCAAATACTTTGGAAATGCACCCTGTATGCTTTCATCTCACTCTCAAGATGCCCCGTGGACGTTTTTACGCCCCTACTCTCAGCAAAAGAGGTGCTTTGTCGACGTGTTAGCGCTCTCATCCTCAGTGAGTGAGATGCCTTCTGGACTTCTCTCTCTGCCTTCACCCTCAGTGAGAGTGATGCCTTGTGTGTATTTACGCCTGTGTATATTTTCATTTCCAGCCTCGCTTGTGTGAGTGTCGCCAGAAGTAAATGAGTATTATCAAGGTCGCCTAGTTTCCTAGCGACCCATAGTATTTTTCTGAAATCGTTCCATTTTGCCGAAAGTCATTTGCTTTCCAGATATTCACCTGATTTCCCTAATAGCCATATAGACCATCATATCTGTGAGGTTTGGTGGGTCTAGTAAATCTATAGCTATTAGCTGAAAACCTTCTACATTCACCAGGCCACACCGTTTTCGAAAAGGTATAGCTAATAGCTATAGATCCACTAGACCCCGCTATATTTGGGGAAAGGTATTGCTCTCAGCTACAGACCCACAAAGTCCCACTCTATTCAAAAATACATATAGGTAGTAACTATAGACCCACCAAACCCTGCAGTGCTAGAAAAAGGGACTGCTCGTTCTTAGACTGCTGACCTACCATTTCACATAAAAATGAAGTGCCGCTTTTTTTGCTTTGAATTCAGAAAGAATTGAAATAGACCATTGTATGATTAAAAACCTGGTATCCACTAATTTCCTACTAAAGATGTAAGCTGTACGGCTGAGCCACCACCACGAACGAAAATTTTTGATGATAGTATGAGATGCCGTCGCAGTTGACATCGATACATATGCGATTGCTCATCTTTTCGTCTTTTAGGAGCAAAAACGTTTTTTGGCTGTTAAAGCCGCCGCCGGTGTAGAAAAACATTAAGTCTAGTAGGCGCCGCCGCTATGGAAAAAAATTTGCATATTAAAACCGCCTTCGCTGTTTGATCCTTTGGCTTACACCTCTATTTCCTACGGAAAAATGATTTGGGTACCTATTTCTATTTGGGTTTTTTATCTACAACTAATATTTACAATAGTTATTTTTAGTGCTAGTTGCATAATCATTTGATACTTTTATAGACTAATATTTAGATATATACACTGTGCCACCGCTACCGCCGCCGTCGCAATAAAAAAAAACCATTGTTTTTATACCCAGCGCCGCCACATATGGAGGAAACAACTGAGGTGTCTCTTGATTAAAAATAAAAAATGATAAAAAAATAGTTTAACTGTTCAAAATGAATTGATTAAAACTCTGATACATCAATAGTAACATCTAACAGCAGCATTATTGTTTTTGATGTATGCAGGAAGATTTACCGAAGTGAGACTGTTCATGAAATAAGTGGATCCTTTACAACCAGAATTGTAATAGATGGTACATCCAGCTTTATTGTCAACCCATCCGCTAGCCATGTTATTTTTCATATCGGGCTTGAAGTTACAGCAATCTCCTTTGGGACATGAACGTTGAAAACAATTAACACCATTTGAATTTACACAAGCAGCAAAAGTTCCACCAGACACCATGGAAACAGTAAGACTGAGAAAGACAGCCAAAAGAACAAGATAAGCCATTTAATTAATTATTGACAAAATCTATAATAAAAATAAATCAAATATTACTTAGTGCATACCAAGAGTAGTGACAGGGGTTCGGTAATCTTTCATAAAAATTTTTAAACTCTTTTTCTATATAGTCTGATAGAGAAAAGAATGCTCTATTTTCCTACGCTATTTGATCTTACTTCAACTAGTATGATGATAATAAATTTTTCATTGTCATTTATGCTCGGAGTAAGTTTTCTGTTGCAGTTGTCAATTCCTTATCAGTTGTATTAACAAGCAAAATATACCATAAAATGCAGCGTGAAAAGCTCTACAATCTACATAGTAAATCTCATTGTAATTGTTTTCAAAAAAAAGAAAATGTATTAAGGGTTTAAAAACTAACCTGTCTCAGACATTTTGATCAAGTACAACGAGCACAAATGATAACGAAAAATGTCTTATGAAAAATTTATTATCCTCATATTAGTTGAAGTATAATCAAATAGCATAGAAAAGTAGAGCATTCCTTTCGCTATAAGTCTATATTGAGAGAAATTTTTGTAAACCTTTTTTATTAGGAATTACCGAACCTCTACCATTACTTTTGGTATGTTTTAAGTAGAATTATATATCTAATAACATATAAGAAATTGAAAAATAGAGTTAAATCATTTTTCATCAATTAATCCATAACATATTCTAATGATTCACTGTACATTTAGACTAATTTAAAACAAAAGGATGACAAGGTTTTCAATGATCTATAGTTGTCATAAAAATTAATATATTTCCTTAGAATAAATACTATTTTAAATTTTTTCTTTCAATCGTCTTTAATTAAACTTAATTGCAAGCACAAGTAATCGAATGCTTCGTATAGATGTTTTACGACTATCTGGATCACTCTTAATGCATGGTTCATTTGCTTGAATTTAAACTTGGCGGTGGTTAGAATGTAATATTCTTGTTATTCGCTGAGCTGTCTCTCTCTAGGTTTGATTATTGAGTATGTATCTCAAAATCCTTGTCAACAGAGCTGATCTTTTAAGCTATAAAAGTCAGACATTGTCTATCATGTAAAAAATAAACTGTTAGTTATTTGTGATTCATGTTTAGGTGTTCGAAGAGAAAAAAATCAAATAGGTGCAAGACAAGTTTTAATGTGAGATTTTTGATCTTCGATCAAACAATTCACAATTTTGAGTTTGTGTACAGCTTTTGCGTAACTCATAGTACTATTTTGAAAGAATACTATTTGACAGTAAACCTATATTTGATAGTAGGTTCAAAAATTTATAAGTAATCCTAGTTATATCACAAATCAAGATAGTGATCGTCTCAATACAACAATGATACTTACATTAATTAAAGTTATATGAATGATGAATAACTTCTTATTGTATAGAAGAAATATCTCACTTGTAA